TTGTTGTGATGGTGTCCCGGTCATGTTTTGATGGTGTCCCGGTCGTGTTGTGACGGTGTCCCGGTCATGTTTTGATGTGTCCCGATCATGTTTTGATTGTGACCCAGTCATGTTGTGATGGTGTCCCGGTCCTGTTTTGATGGTGTCCCGGTCATGTTTTGATGGTGTCCCGGTCATGTTGTGACGGTGTCCCGGTCATGTTTTGATGGTGTCCCGGTCATGTGATGGTGTCCCGGTCATGTTGTGATGGTGTCCCGGTCATGTTTTGATGGTGTCCCGGTCGTGTTGTGACGGTGTCCCGGTCATGTTTTGATGGTGTCCCGATCATGTGTCCCGATCATGTTTTGATTGTGTCCCAGTCATGTTGTGACGGTGTCTCGGTCATGTTTTGATGGTGCCCTGGTCATTTTGTGATGGTGTCCCGGTTATGTGATGATGGTGTCCAAGGAAGAGATGGTCGATGTGTTGAAAACAGCAGCTTTTTCCAGATTTTTCTTTTTGTCTCGGTTTGTATCTTGCTATTGGGGTCTCCAGCTGGGCTAATTTCATTTTAAGGTCCCATCATTTCTCCAACATCTTTTTGATTGAACAATTTCAATTGCAAACTCTCAGGCCCCAAGCCTCCTCATTCTGGACCTTTTGTACCCCTCCGTTTTTAGTGCCCTTTGTACCCTCCCACCAAAAAGAGCTGCACCTTCTTTAGGAAATGCTATTGCGGAAGTACTCCAACGCTCCTTGGACTCTGATGCGCCTACCATGGGGCCAATGCAGATGCTGAGAGAGCAAGGATGGCGCAGCGGGGATTTTCAAGGAATCCTGGTTGCAAGGAAAAAAACTGAAACATAGACATAGGTTTCATTTTTGCTGTAATTCATCCTTTCAAGTAGAGTTCAGGTTGAGGCACTTCGCTGTGTTCTGTTCTGGGTCAATTTTTCGATGGAACTTGATGCAACTGCTTTTCAATGTGCTTTGGTGGATTCAAAGGTTCAGACATTGCCAGCCTTGAACGTGCAGCACTCTTGCTAGCTGAAGCAGATTCTTGGAATTGAATAGACTAGAAAAACTATATAGACCCAACAAAACGCTCTCCCTCTCTCGCTATCTTCTGTCAATTCTTCAGTTTGAGGAGCAAAGAGATGGGGGAAGGCTGTGAATACTCAACTCTTCCAAAAATGACACTTTGTTTCAATCCTGATCAACTCAGGACTTTGTGCGAGTTTCGAAAGCATATGGAATTCCTGGATCTGGCGGTTCTTTGGTAGAAACAGTTTTAGGAGAAGCTCATACGTTTTTCCTCTTGGCCATTTCCACCAAAATGAGTTCTCACTCACTGCTCTAACGGGAACCAATTGCAGTGTCTACTTGCTGTGCCTACTTGAATTATTTGTGGCGTCTACTTGCAGGCTCCCAGCCAGCTTAGGTCTTATGGGAGCTGCCAGAGACGAAATGAATCACTTGCTCAACCTTGGCCAGAAATTTTTGCTGCAATCATATTTGCACGCCAAGGCCGCACACCAGAATTGTTTGCTTTCCTGAAGTCCAGCGCTTAAAGCGCTTATATATATATATATAAGAGTCTTCAATACATACAATCCAGAAGTGAACCAGAATGGGGCACATGATGCATTAATACTTGTCATGAGCAATTCTATCCACAGTCTGTTCAGTCTGTTCCCCTGAATCCACAGCTAGATTTAAGCCAGTGTTGTAATTCAGCTCTCGCAGTCTCGCAGGCTGCAGCTCCGGCAGGTCTCACAGATCTTTATGGCCTCTTCACAGCAGTGTGGCAGACTGGAGAAGCTTGGCTTTGAAAGACAGAATTTGCCAACAGACTGCAACAGATTGCATTTAACTTCAGTAGCTACTATGCCCGTTCTGTGTAGCGTACTGCTGAGGTGCCAATCTTCGAGATTCTGGATCGTTTGGACAGCCAAGTCTTGGAGTCCATATTCTTGCCAGCAGCATGGAAGCAAGCCTTCAGGCCTTCAACACAACACGCAATACAAAGTGTGCCCCCCCCCAAAAAAGAATATATATATATATATAATATATATAGAGGTTAAACAAGAAGCCACCGACGTGAAGGTTATAGACAGTTGTTGTACAAGAAAGTCAGCTTGCAAACCAAGCAGCAGCGATTCATCAACAGCCAAGTGTTCGGACATGACACATCCAGCTGCTACTGAGACCTCACAGACGCACAGTGATGCGCCGTTTCTGGTGCATGTTTTGCCAACACGGAATGTGGAGTCCAACCACGTGCGTGCATTCTTTGACCTGCATTGTGAAGCTCGGTCAGATTTCATTCCGCTGCAACGTGGCTGAGCTTGCTGTTTGAGCTGCTCTCTGTATTGCTGGACAGGGAGCCAGTGGCAAGGAGTAACGACCCAGGCTCCGATTGGCAAGCTTTACTGTCAAATTGCCTCATGAGTTGAGAGTGTGGCCTCCGGGAGTCATGACGTCAAAAAAACAGGTTGCTATCTCTGAAACTGATTGCCCGCTGTGGCTGCAAATGGGTGTAATGGGCTTTCTCCAAAGGCTCCCCACTGGTGTGAGCATCCCCTGAAAGCCTGCGGACCTGAAGTTCTACTTCAGGCTCATGCTCCTGGAATGGGATCTTACTCCTATTGTTGGTTTGATGCATTGATACAGCATTTGGGCCTGCTGAAGCCAAGAATATGGTATATCCTGTGCTTTGCTGTGTAAGGACCAGACTTTCAAGGACTTGGTTGAAAAGCATAAGAACCTGCGGCAGCCATTGATGGTTGTGGAGATTGGCACGCATTTGGGAGGCACAATCACATGGAAACTGTTTTGGAGCTTGCCATCAAGAAACAACTATATATATATATAGCATCCAGAATATTTAAGAATTAGCTAAGGCTTGCTTGATACTTCAGTAGCCAAGCGTGGAGTGCCATCATGTTTAGGGCTGCCGTTCTGCTCATAGCGGCTAACACACAGTTGTATGTGCCCCAAACCGAATCCAAATCCAGCGACCTCATTCAAACACTGTTGTCTGTTGAAAGGGTTGGGTTTCCCTCCATCTTCAGCTACTGCATCTTATTTCTCATTAGATGGTCAGGTTGTGTGCTTTATGCACTCACGCATTTGCCCAAAGAGACCGGGCCTCAGTGGTTTCCGTGATAAACACTTCTGTCTACCAGCACTGATCGGGAATGCTTAGGACCCGTGCTCTTGCTATCGATGCCTATGGCCCAGCTGTGGCAGCCTTGCGGCGCACAGCTGCGTCAAATGGGCTTGCGGAAGCTTTGGCTAATCCACCTTAACATGTGGACGAGCAGCAGTCATACTCGCCAGGCAACACTTTAAAATTTGAATGGTTCTTTTTGGTTTGACTTGGCTGTCTTGAGAAACGGCTGCAAACCACATGTCGAACCTTAGCCCTCGAAACTCCAACTCCTGTGATGAAACACTTGAGAGACATTCCGAAGATGTTGTTTCACTTTTTCCCCAATAGCCATGCTATGGGGTCTTGCAAAACTAATAGGCGGACGGGCGCCGTCGGGTCACCGTCAGAGCTGGTGGGCGGATGGTGTCCCGGTCATGTTTTGATGGCGTCCGGGTCATGTGATGCTGGTGTCCCGGTCATGTTTTGATGGTGTCCCGATCATGTTTTGATTGTGACCCAGTCATGTTGTGATGGTGTCCCGGTCCTGTTTTGATGGTGTCCCGGTCATGTTTTGATGGTGTCCCGGTCATGTTGTGATGGTGTCCCGGTCATGTTTTGATGGTGTCCCGGTCATGTTGTGATGGTGTCCCGGTCATGTTGTGATGGTGTCCCGGGCATGTTTTGATGGTGTCCCGGTCGTGTTGTGACGGTGTCCCGGTCATGTTTTGATGGTGTCCCGATCATGTGATGGTGGCGCGGTCA